GTTAACGATCGCTTGCACCGCGCTGTACCGAACACTTACACTTACTTACAGCACATAACGCTAATGCCCGTCTGTCGTTACGTTCACCAGCAGCAGAACCGCTCCACCCAAGGCGCACTCGGGGCAGACGCGACCGCCATCAGCACCTCGACCAGCAGCAGCACCCAGCAGTAGCAGTAGTAGAAGCAGTAGTAGAAGCAGTAGTAGCAGCGGCTGTAGTAGCAGCAGCAGTAGTAGCATCAGCAGTAGTAGCAGCAGCCAGCAGCCGCGGAGGAGCAGCAGCAACAGCAGAAGCAGCAGAAGCAGTAGCAGCAGTAGCATAAGCAGTAGTAGCAGCAGCAGTAGTAACAGCAGCCAGCAGCCGAGCAGCCAGCAGCCGCGGCGGTAGCAGCAGCAGCAGCAGCAGCAGCAGCAGCAGCAGCAGCAGCAGCAGCAGCAGCAGCAGCAGCAGCAGCAGCAGTAACAGCAGCCAGCAGCCGTAGCGGCAGTGATATGTCGTGACGTGCATCACTCGGCGGCATCGCGCCTGGCGCGGCGGGGAAGTGCCTCGAGAAGGAGGAGGCGGACACGTCGGGGGGTCTGCTGACGGCGTCGTCCTCATTCGCCACCCGCCGCGTCCGCCGCAGCCAGGAGGATGACAACAACGCCGTGCGCGCAGCGCAGCGGCGCAGAGCAGGCGGAGTAGACACAGCGTACGCCGTCTCCTTGGAGGCGGATTGAGGTGAATTTGGAGCTCGGATTTAAGCGCCGCAGCTCCACTTGCAGGTGAAGCGGGAGCCGCCGAGGACCACCGCGTAAATCAACGCCATCTAGCGGCGCCGGCGAGAGCAGCGCGGAGCAGCGCCACGCAAATTTACGCGGACGTTCGCGTGGTTTAGACATCCAACGCCGGGCCGAGACAACTGCACTATAAATCTGGGGCCAGCGGGGCGAAGGAAAAGAAACGAGAAAAAAAAGAGCGGGAGGAGGGGGAGGGGAGGACTCCTGAGAAATACAAATTGTCGCGTAACGAGGACAGT